TGGTACTATTCCTGTGATAGCTCCTACAGGAACGCACAGGGCAATCTGGTCCAGCAGCCTGCAGGAGCTTATGTTGGGCCTTTTCACCACACTCCCACAGATGATCTGGTCGTCTCTGTCAGATAGACTAGCCTTGCACAGTCTGCCGGAAAATCTTTTATGAAACTGCAGAGGAATCTAATTTTACATGTTTGAGTGGGAAAAGTCATTTTTGTGTGAAGAATGAAAAGTATTTGTAGTTCAGAGTATCAGCGGGTTTAGAAATGGTAAATATTAGATTTTTAAGATGAAATTGAAGAAGTCTATTTACGTAAGAAAGACAGAAAGACATGTTTTCACTTAGAGAATTTTATTTACCTAAAAGGTTCTTAGAAGTCTTACAAAGTTCAGGGTTAAATTAGCCACAGGCTCGATATAAAACAATGTGGTGACCTGAGACAATGGAAAGCGAACGACAACTTCAAGAGACAACGGCCGAAACAACCATCAGTGTACAAGAAGTGGGCCTACTGGAGAAAAACCTTTTCTACACCTCTATAGTGAGCCACTAAAGTGACTACCAGTGAGAGTGAAAAATATTGTTGACTGACATACATCAGCCGGAGCATCTGCAGGCGACCAGCTGTCAGCTTCAAAGCAATGTGCAACAAGCCTTACTTAATCTTTCTAATCTCCAGCTCAGGGCATAAATCTGGTCACAAAAGGAAATCTGAGAAAAAGATGAGTTCTCCTATTCACTTTATCAGTCTACAGTCTCAGCTTGATAGTTTAGCAACATATTGAATACAACATGATGTTCATTTTGTAAATTATCAACTTCATCAGAGGGGAAAGGGGGATGAAGGAGAGTATGCCTTACTTCCCAGTGTGACTTCCCAGTGATTGACTGGTAATAGCTACTACACCATGTGTGCCCAGTATGTCTTGGTTACTATGCTCAGCTGGAGGTTTTAAGACAGGACCTCACTAACAAATGGGTGACATGATGGTGGCACCTGTTTGCTAACACAGGAACTAATTTCATGCCATCGACACAGCACCATCTTAAACATAATTAGCTGCTACATCTGTTGCAGTGTTAGCTTTCACAGCTGTAAGCCGACCGTTATCGTGCGCTTTCCTCCACCAAACCTAAGCCAACAAATAAGTGATATTTTTCACGGCACGATTTTATAACTAAAGGCTTTCAGGTTTATCGTTTCTTCCAATGACAGACTGCAGACATTCTAAAGTGATATGAGCCAACATTATCTGGAGTCACCAATATGTTGTACAAACTAACCAAAAACATTATCTATAATATCTTATCTGCTAGCAGGACCCTCTCCTGAATCAATTTTATTGGCAATCAAGGCCTTAATTTTGCATGTGGTAGAAATTCAGGATCTGCAAATATCCTGTTTAATAATACAATAAATTGACTTTTTCCAGTTTGCCAGTTACACAACATTTGTGGCCACAGCAGGACATGACGTTATTTTCATGTGGTGGAAATAAACTGATAGAATGAATCCGTTTCTTTTTACTTTTCCATCTGAACTGGAAAAGTTTGGTCACAATGATACATTTATGCAAAATAATATATTTATTTATTAAATAAAGTTGTGGAAAATATGAAAAGTACACAAAGGCATGGATACATTATGTTTTGTTAACAAAACATAATGTTTCATTGGCTATCACTGATCTAATGATAGCCAGTTACAAAGGTCAAAGGTCACTAATAATGGCTAGAGTTCTGACCTGTGTGTCTGTGTTAGGGCATTCCTCATGGTCTTGATCTGCTGGAAATGACAGGACATGTCTGTTGACATCACCATCTCTATCACCAGAGACCTCAGCTCCCTATGAAAATTAAATAAACAAACACATCCAGTAATCACCCATCAGTTCTCATCAAAGAGCCCACACCTCTGAAAGTTTGTCAACTTGACATTGTCGAGACGCTGTGGGAACTCAACTTCTTTTGGGTTCAAAAAACAAGTCAAGTAAATAATTAAAGTTTAGGATTAGGCATTGATTTTTGGTTAGGGTTGGGTACACGGCTAGGGAAAGCATTATGTCAATGAAATGTCCCCACAAGGATATGAGTACACACAGTGTGTGCGTGTGTGTGCGTGTGTGTGCGTGTGTGTGTGTTCACATATATCATGCCAGGTTGGGGCACTAACCAGACTTCACACTAACACATGAGGACTGTGTCATCATGTGATGAAAACTCTGTTTCTGAAAACAATACTAGCTGTATAGAAAACACTTTAACCAAGGAAACATATTTAAAATATTTTCAGTCACCTGATTTTTACAGAATCTGCTGGGAATTCTGTAAATGTCATCAGAACAGTAAGTATTTTAAAATAGCCCTTTCTTTGTCTCTTAGAGAATGAGTTCTGTACATCAACACAAAGGACACAAGGTGGAGTTTTGTATGTAGTTGTGATGTCAAAGCTCAGGGTAAGGGCATTTAGGTGCATTGAGATGGAAGCACAAACATCAAGAATTGGCAGTAAGGGCAAACCTCCAGTCATCTTTGTTCAGGTTGACCAGGATATTCATGTCTTCTTCGGCCATCAGCCTGTAGGCAGCGCTGACATGATAGTTCTCCAGCACTGACCTGTCATTGTACAGAATGGCCACTTCCGACCTGACAGACAGACACAACATCCAATCAGATATCTTCTGCAGTTTGTATACAGAAGCCGCAACATCAGCAGGTTTCCTGTTGTTCCCCTACTTAAGATTCACCACACTTGCTGAAATTTTTGAAAAAAAAGAAGGGTGGGGGGACTCCAGATGAATCCCACTGTGTTATTCCTAGCGCCTCCTTAAACCTGTCACCATGCTTTTGAATCAAGCATCTGGAACTCTGTTGGATGAATTCACAACTCACCCAGTGAACTGGCAGATTCCCATTGTTTTATTATGTAAGATAGATGTTTTTCATGAGTCTTTAAACACAGGCCTAATTCATTTGTTATGTACTACGTGACAAACTTTATATTGTTAACTTTATATTGTGTTTAGTGTTAAATGTCAAATATCAATTATCTTAAGTTAATTATCTTGAGAAAAACTGTCCCTGTCAAATCAGATCCCCTGATAACCTACATGAAGTGTTACCATCTACATTACCTGGTGTGGATGTGGAAGTTGTTGGTGGTTCCTGTGTGTTCAAAGTCGTGAATTGCTGCGGCAAAAACCATTGCAAGAATTTCCAACTCGCTCAGCCAGTGCTGCACACACACACACACACACACACACACATCATTAGTTAGCTTCTATAGACAACTGTCTTTGCAAGCCATGTGCAGGCAAGCACAGTTGCACAACAAGATTGTGACAAAATGATATCCACATAGGTGTTTTTGAAAATCTACTTCTGTCTTTGTGTGGGCTAATTTAAGGTTTGGACATCAGCAACGTTTTGGAAAATGAGGACATGCTGCGTGGTCCTAGGAAAGACTGTTTGAGGATTCAGCTTTTAAGAATCTGGTTTATTTTAACAGCAGTGTAAAGGGATGCCAGAGGTTCCCCACAAAAAGATGTGCACGTGTGTGTGTGTTACCATCAGTCCAGTGTGTAGCATCAGGAAGTGGGCAGTCTGAGTGACATCAGCGGCATGAATAAGGTTGTGGTAGGGGTTCCTGTGTTTGCTGTAACCGTTCTCAAGCGCTTCAACAAACTGCACCAGAGCCTGCACAGGAATCTGAACACAAAACTGTAAGTTAGCACAAAGACTAAATGTACTTTCCCCAGTATTAAGTTCGCCCACCACCAGATTTGAACAAAATTAAACTGCGAGTACCCTGAACCTGTTGATGAGGTCATAGCGGGTCAGAAGGTCGTAGACTAGGAACTTGAGGGCGTGCTCTCCTGTGGCCTCGTGGAAGGCAAAGACATCAAAGGACCACTGATCCACCTCCTGAGAAATGCATCAACAAATACCATCTCACATGTAAGGTATGATTACAGCAGGGGGGTGTGACATAAAGCTGGTGAGACCTTAGTGAAATGAAGATTTCTGCCAGTAGAGGGCACTGTCCTGATAATGTTTGCTCAAACAGGAAGGATCTAAAACTCAGATTAATTATCACATTTACTTACACAATTACATTTAAAGCCTCTCATTGGGTCGTGCTTTGCATCATGCAAGAAGCGTGGACTAGAATAATTCAATTTTTTTCTAAGTTTGTAGACAACAGGAAGTGCAGAGGAGGAAACATATATCATTAATGTACTAAACCTACATTGTCCTTCACCACAGTGTCTTGCCTTTCTCCGCTTCCTTCATTTATTGTTTATCTCCTCTTTTCCTTCTCTGCTTCGTTTTTTTGTCTATATTTCATTTTCATGCCTTCCTTCCCAATAACCTCTTACTATCCAAAGCACTTCTGTTTCCTGCTTTCAGTCACTGTTTTTGGTTTTTCCATCCTTCTTTTCTTTATCTTACTTTCTTTTTTCCCTGGTAAGCTATCCAGGCTGTACCTCGCCTTTTGTCCTTTGACAGCTAGGACATAGACTCCAACACCCTCCCCCAATCCTGACTTGGACAAGGGTTTAAAAAGGCTGGTTGGCTAGCTGGCTGGCGGGATTGGATGGATGTTTTATTAGCTCCTTTTATTTCCGCCTTCCCTTTACAGCTTTACCTTTTTCTTGTGCTTACCCTCATACTCTTCCCAAATCCCACTTTTTCTTCTCTTCCAAATGTCCTCTCTTATCTCCTTTCATTGCTATATCTTTACTTCATTCCTTTCCTCCCAACCAGGTCCTCACTTCCTTCTCTGTCTCCTTTATCATTACCCCTCTCAGTCTCTCTCTAGCGTCTCCTTTCCTTTTTGCAATTCGTATTTCTTTCCTACTTCCTGTTCTTCCTCTTGTTTTCCTCTCACTTTCTTCCCCTTTTTGTCTATTTCTTATTTCCCATTCCCAAGTCCTCCCTGACTCATTCACTCATTCATTCCTCTTTTCTTTTCACATTGCCTCCTTTCCATTTCAACGAACTCACTTTTTTACCCTCCTTGTCATTCTCACGTTCCTCTTTTCATCATCCTGGATTGCTTTTCCCTGCATTTCCTCCCTTCTTACACACTTTCTTACCTCTTCCAGTCTTTTTGTCATTCTTTATTTTGTTTCATTTTTTGTTTTTCTCTCCCTTCATTTCCTTTTAAGGCTCTGAACTCAGAACTCTTACTGAAAAGGTTTTATTTTTTTTTCAATTGCTAATCAAACGCAGGTTTAATACAATAAAATGTCACCTGCTGCCAGTGGGAACGCAGCAGTAATTTTTACCTTCAGAGCTGTCAAAGCTGTGGGAGGATAGGTCAGACCAGCCATGTTGGACGTCCGTCTGTACATCCTGTTGTCACACACACAGATAAAAATATCACGCACTAATTTCACACATTGATACAGGCAGTGGCATGCATATAAACACTCCCCGCACAGACCCCCTCCAGCCACCCTCCTCCACAGTTTGTGACCAGGATGGATTGTTTGTTGTCATGGTAACCGTATTCTAAACACACACACAGACACACAATGAGCGCTGCTTCGGTGCAGCAGATATTTTTTGATTTCATGCGTCATTAAGCTGCAGCAGATGAACTGATACCGTTCTATCACTGCGAGTCATTTACAATATAATAATAGTGGACTTCACAGTTTCCCTATATGATCTCCATCCCCAGCTCTCTTGCAGGCTAACATTGTTACACTTCATGTTGGACCCTTTAATCACATCTGCGGTGGAGTCAGCCGGATGTTCTGCCGTTTATTTTGAAGAAAATCTACGACTGTTCTCTGTTCTGTCTGCAGGTGTTCCAGATTTCTGCTGCAGATAAAAATAACTGAAATGACTAAACATCTGAAAGTGTTCATTTGAAACAATCATTTGACAGAATTCTGCGATGCCTCACTGCTTTTCTGCACATGTATAACAAGTTTTAAGGTAAATTAACATATAGAGCACTAGGCTCAGAGGTTAAGAGAAACCTCTGCATGTCAGTGAAGTGGCAGGGAATACATTTATGACGTTACTGTAAAGATAAGATACAGTTACATTGAAAAGTATACTTTTCATGTTGTTTATGGCTCTTCAACATCATATAAAAACAATTCACATATCCAAGAAAACTCTTTTGCAGGTGCTGGACTATGGAAGAAAAATGTCAATAGCAATAAAAGGCTAAAGTCTGCACAGCACTGTTTTCTCAGCAGTCCTTTATCAATAAAGGTCTGTCATGGTAAGCTTGGGTTCCTGTTTTTAGTTCATTTAAGGGCTGAAAAATGAAGTAAATTCAACGTGTCATAAACTGCAGATCTTCTAAATAACCAAAAGTGAGTCAATCTTCATAGGCTCACATGTTTAGCTGTAATTGCAAGCACTCTGAAACCCTGCACTGTAACCTATGGCATAACTTGGCATGCACCTCCCTAGAAATGTAACTAAATATTGTGATTGGCCTGTTCAAATTCCTAATGCGCATTTCCTGCTACTTTTTCACAGAAGTTTGTTAATTTATCAGTGACAGAATAAAAATCATTGACTAAATATTGTCATGATCTGAGTGATGTCTGGTGTTTTTCTGTTTGGGTCCTGTGTTCTCCTGTGTCCACCTATGTGCCCTGATTGCTCACCTCCTTCTCTCATCTTCAATCTAACATCTATGGAAAGAGATGTTAGGGATTATGTAGCCAACTGTTCCATCTCTGCACGCAGTCAGAGTAACTCCCAGCAACCCTCAGGTTTACTCAAACCGCTAGTTACACCTCACAGGCCCAAGTTACTTTGGACTTCATTACCAGGCTACCCATCTCCTCTCCATAATAGGCCGGTTCTCAAAGTTCGCTCATTTTGTTGCTCTTCAGAAATTACCCACTGCTACCAAAACCACCCAACTGCTCATTGATCATGTTTCAGGCTTCATGGCATTCCGCTGAAGATCGTTTTGGACAGGGGTCCTCAGTTCACCTCCCAGGTCTGGAAGATCTTCACTGCAGTGGGAGCCAACGTCAGCCTCAGTTCCAGGTTTCACCTGCGGACCGACGGCCTGACCAAGAGGCTCAATCAAGAGTTGGAATTGGCTCTGTTTTGTTATGACACAAAACTCAGCCATCTGGTCCTCAGAGTTCCCATGAGTAGAGTACAGAACAACTCACTCACCTTATCTGCTACTGTCTCTCACCTTTCAACGTATCCTTAGGTTACCACCTGCCTGTCTGTAGAAGCAGATCTGTTCTTTCCATCTAGCACCACCTGCAGATAGCGCATTTAGGCCCAGAGGCCGTACTCCGAACAGTCGATCAGCACTGCCACTATGCAGATTGCTTCCAAACACCCACTCTCAGATATGAACTAGGACAAAAGGTTTGATTAGCCACTAAAGATATTCATCTTAAGGCCATCTCTCTTGCAAGCTCGCTCCCTGTTTTATTGGATGATATGAGATCGAGATTGTCATCAGCCTTTCAGTGGTTAAACTCAAGCTTCAAGCATCCATGCACATCCATCCCACATTCCACATCTCCCAGGTCATGCCCGTCAACTACAGTCCATTGTGGCTCTTGTTCTCCTGCCAAGCCTCTGATTAAATTTACCCGCAGTGCAATCTCCTAGGTGTAGGCAACTCCAGGCCTCGAGGGCCGGTGTCCTGCAGGTTTTAGATGTGTCCTTGATGCAACACAGCTGATTTAAATGGCTAAATGACCTCCTCAACATGTCTTGAAGTTCTCCTGGTAATGAACTAATCATTTGATTAAGTTAACCCAGGGTGATATCTAAAACCTGCAGGACACCGGCACTCGAGGCCTGAAGTTGCCTACCCCTGCCCTAGACGCTGGCTCATGGTAAAATCCACCAAGTCCTCTTGCAAACTCTTTCCCCAGAAATGCAACTACTCACTGTTCTCAATTGCCTGACCTCCTGCTCACATCATAAACTTGTCTTGTAAAGTATGTGCACACCAATGTGCTGCGCTTTTGTGAAAAATTCATTCTACAGACTTGGAACTACAAGCACACTTGTTGCCAAATAATGATCTGAATGGTCAGATCTGTCAATGCTGGCTGTGTGGCAGGCAGGAGTAGGACCTAAACGCAGGACTCAAACACAAAGGGATAACTAGAAGAGGCAGCTTTTATGTGTTGTATCAAAATACTCAGATACTAAATTCACAAAAACAAAACCTAACGCTGGAAAATGAAAACACAAAACTGGAAGAAAACTCGAGGAAGTGATGGACACGAGGAGCCCAGGAGAACACACAGCAACATGGACAACACAACAACAAGTAGAGGAAGACAGGGGACTTAAATGCACAAAGACTAATGAGGGGCTAGGAAACAGGAGGAAACACGGCTGGTAGTAATCAGGCACAATGAGACAGGGAGAAGGGAAACTGAACTCACTGAACACAGGACGAGAGACTGTCAAAATAATACAGGAAAGACACTGAGACGCAGACTAAGAGACGAGGGCTTGACACTGGGACCAGGGGAGAAACAGAAGCAGAGAACAAGACAGAATGAGGACACAGAGAGGATGAGAGACATGACGGACTGGGGAGAACACAGACAAGACCAAGATGACCACAGCATGAAAGGGAGGAGACTAAATGAACACAAATCTAAGAACTAGAAATAGAAATGACAAAACTAGGAAGATATGTAATATTTGAATGTAATATGTCCAAATGTTACACACTGAAAGTAGAAAAGAAAGAAGAAAACAAAGAAAGAAAGATTCTGGGTTCATCCAAGTCTCACAAGAAGGCAGCAAGAGGGAGAATTTAATGGTTTGATCCAGGATTTGAAGCTGTATCACCACCGCATTCACACATATTTCAGGATGTGAGTGGGGAAGTTTGAACTCTTGTTGGCAGAGTTGGAAACGACTTCTGAGGAGGCAGAGAAATCATTTCAGAGAGCCGACTGGCCAGAGTAGTGTCTAGCTGTGTTTCTGGGGTTAGTATTATTTTACTATTACCATATAATTGTACCTGTGCCTACTTTGAGCGACGAGCACACTTGTTACCACATTCAGTGGTCTGATTGGGTCAGATCTGTTATTTTGGAGCTGAGAAATAGCAAGAATCAAGCTTGGTTTGAAAAAATAAATGCTAAAATACTCTATATTCAGTGAAATGATATGGTGAGTGTGAAAGGTTGCAGTAAGTACAGGTGAGTACAAAAAATATTTTCATGCACAAAATATTTGTGCAAAAGTACAAAAGTCTTTAGAGTCAAACAGCAGGATAAATTGTCATTTGACTGTTTTATCTTCCTTTACCACCTTACTGTTTTTCTTCTCAGATTGCTCTTTCCCTGCCTTTGGTACCTGTCTACTTTTCTACAGCCTTTTTTCAATTTTTCTTTTGTTTTTGTTTTTTTCTCAATTTCTGTTTAAGGTTCTGAGCTGTGAAAAAAATGAGCTCTGACTGAAAAGGTTTTTATTTGTTTTTAACTTCTGATCAAATGTCGGTTTAATACAATAAAATGTCACCTCCTGCCAGCGAGACAGCCGCAATCGTTTCTACCTTCAGGGTCAGAATATTCCAGAAAACTCTCTCCAAGTGCTGGACTACAAAAGAAAAATGTCAATAGCAAGAGAAAGGCAAAGTGTGCACAGTTCTGTGCTCCTACAATTATTAATAATTACCTGTCATGGTAAGCTGTTTTTAGTTCATTTAGCTCTATGGATAGTTTCCGCCTGCACAATATTATGGTCCCCATTAGAGTCACACAGCAGGATAAAATGGGGTATGCTTTACTGTGTGATTGACGAGTTGCTGCAGTATGAGGGTGAGTGTAGAATTCCTCAGTTTCTAAGTCAGACCCAACTTTTATGAAATGTAATCATATGAATCCCTCAACATTGAATCTGGTCCACATGTACCTGCAAGAGCATTCACAAGGTCCAGCTGTGGAACTGGATTTGAGTCACAGTCAGTGCTGGAACTCATCCCCTGGTGTTCAGGACCTATAAACCAAACTAGGAAAGCCACTTCACTTTGGAGCTGGCTTTGTGTGCAAAAAGATGATCAGGTTCTAGCGAGGGGCGAGTGCAATTAGAAGATCAGTATTGTCTATAGTGTGGTTGTATGTTGAAGTCTTAACCCTCTCGAGGCAGGCATTGCTGATTTGCAACAATTAAAAACTAACAACCTGATTACCCCACATACATATTTTATGAGGTTTTTTTTACTCAGAAGTACCACTGCAGGACTGCAGAAAAAGTTTAATTTGAGCCTGAGAGGGTTAAGAGTAAAGTAAGGTCATTTTAAAAAACAAGCAAACACACAAAAACACCCAAAGTGGAGAGTATAGTTATCGGAAGTTCATTTGTGGAGTGTGGCATACTGTTCATCGTAATTATTTTTCTGGAAATCAGGGAGAAGGTAAGGGTGGACTGATGGGTTAACCAAACGTGAAAGCCTGAGTCCCTTGCACTTCACGTTGCTAATGGTGAGTTTTAATGGCAGCATTGACATTCCAGACTCTTTTCACATTGCTAGTCTCTTCCTGAGTAAGTATAAAACTTATAGTTATTTACAATTCAACATTCATTTTTGACTCTGAATTGACTCACTCCTCCCCTGTGACCCTAAATTGGATAAGTGGATGAAAACCGATGAATGAATGGGTGGATTGTGGGTTGTTATGCTTACATAAAACTCAAATATCAATATATCAGTTGAGAAGTTGCAGCAAATTATTAATATTGTAAAGGTTTGTGAATTGTCCTGCAGGACTCAGTTCATGTTCATAATATGTTTTTTGTTTGTTTGTTTTTTGTAACAGTCTTATTATATAAGGAGATAATGGGCGATGTCAAAGTTACTTCATTATTTTCTAGGTCAGAGCACCTGGGAGGACATAAAGGAAGAAAGTGAGTCAGTATATAAATTCGTTCCAAGCTCTTCAGCCATTTTAATCCTTGAATAGGTCTGTTAACAGCTAATGGAGTGTGAAGCAGAGGTACTTAAAGTTTTCTGCAGTTTTATACACACTGAACAATGATTTAAAATGAGATTTACAAAGCTTAACTAATGCCTGCTATGTTTAATGGCCATTAGCAGCAGTTAGAGTGAGAATCTCATTGCTGGTGCAGTTGCGAAGACACTTTCTCTATTCATGAGCATTTATTTTGAATTCACAAAACCTGAATGCAGGCTTTTGGAGAAATTATGGGACTGAAACAATTTGTGAATTTCTTTTCTTCACACTAGCACTCCGTGCAGTATTTCTAGCATGCTTATTAGTGAATACAAGCTTTCTGTTTAGCTGATCAGAGCAACATTTACCTCTCTACAAATATCCCAGCCTGCACTGCATGAACAATGCTCCTGAATCTTGGCTTCTCTTCAGGGCGACGCTTGGCCACACCCATCTTCCTGCTGAAGGTGCACGCCAGCCAGTCACGCACCTCGCTTGGCACCGACTCTGCCTGCAAGTCACTGAGCTCATCTTCAGTGTCCAGCAGGCGCCTGCAGAGAGAAACAGTCACATTTTTGGCAACTGCTGATAAAGCTTTATTTTCTATACAGCCATTCATTCAACAGCCTGCTCAGGCTCACCTGGTCTCGTCAGTGTAAACAGCATCCAGCATGGCAGCTGCAAGCTCCAAGTGCCTCCGGAGTTCCTGCAGGTCCACCATACCACGGTCCATCTGCTCCAAGACCGCCTTCAGCCTGACAGCACAAACAAATATACAGTGCATTATACTAATTGAGCAAACAGTAGAAGAACAAGTAAATGATGCAAAGTTATTCAGAAGTTGGACGCCCAGTGTTAAAGGGCTAGGTAACATTTAAAATCCTGTCAGGACCACTTTATTTGAAAGGAGATTGTTGTCTATATCTGCAGTAACTCATATTTGTCTGTACAGTTCTGTTCTGTATGTCCATGTGCATACACTGAAAGCTAAGAGGTAAAAAGAATGCAACAAAGGCCCCTAACACAGCAGAGCAGGCATCGGTTAGAAAACATATGGCATTAATTAACGGCATGTAACGCTTTAGCTGGAGGGAATCTGGGTTGCGAAGCAGCTTGCAGAGGCAGCAGTATCTGTATGGAAGGTGAAGCATCTTAAATATTAGTGAGTAGAATAAATTGAAGAATGTCAGCCTGGGCATCAGCTGATCTGATGGAACTGCAGGCTGAGCTTTACTGTCCAGCCTGACAGAACTAATGTTATGCTCAATTTTCTGTTAGATGCAGTTTAGTCACAAACACAACAAGCACTTTTAATTCGGTTATATGGCATTGATTTCGAACATTCCGGAATTCCGAACATTCCGGAACTTTGGCGCATTCCGGAATTCCGAACATTCCGGAACTTTGGCGCATTCCGGAATTCCGAACATTCCGGAACCATGGTGCATTCCGGAATTCCGAACATTCCGGAATTCCGAACATTCCGGAACTTATGCGCATTCTGGAATTCCGAACATTCCGGAATTCTGAACATTCCGGAACTTTGGCGCATTCCGGAATTCCGAGCATTCCGGAACTTTGGCGCATGCCGGAATTCTGAACATTCCGAAACCATGGTGCATTCTGGAATTCCGAACATTCCGGAACTTTGGCGCATTCCGGAATTCCGAACATTCTGGAGTTCTGAACATTCCGGAACTATGTAGTTTGTGCTGCAGAACTGTCAAAGTACTCTTGCCTCTTTTCAAGTATTTTTGCTTTTTTGTTTCCCTCAGTGTCAACTTGAGTTATTTTTATCACTGTGGAGCTAAATTTATCAGCTAGGAGGTAGCTTTCGGTATGTCTGTTCTCAGCTGAAATCAGAAATTATGTGTCATCAGGACTCTTTTTTTTTTTTAAATTACCCGATCACTCAGGCCTAGTTCCAAAGTGTCTCAGTGAAATGTGTGGTACTTCTCTTTGTTCAGGGTGCAGATGTCCAGCTGCAATTACCATGTTTCTCTATATGTTTGATTCTGGAATTGTTTCCCCTTCTCCTCCCTGAGTCTGGTTCTACTAGTGATTTCTTATTATCAGGATGTCCTGAAAACTCCCTGAAAAGAACTTAAGTTAATCCAAAATGCTGCAGCAAGAGTACTGACAGGGACTAGAAAGAGAGAGCAGATTTCTTCTATATTGGCTTCTCTTCATAGGCTCCCTATTAAATCCAGAATCAAATTGAAAATCCTGTTCAAGGTCTTAAATAATCAGGCCCCATCTTATCTTAATGACCTTATAGTACCATATCACCCCATTACAGCACTTCACTCTCGCACTGCAGGCCTACTTGTTGTTCCTAGAGTATTTATAAGTAGTATGCAAGGCAGAGCCTCTAGCTTTCAGGCCCCTCTTTTGTGGAAACAGCTTGGGAGTTTGGATTCAGGAGACAGACACTATCTCTACTTTTAAGATTTGGTTTAAAAAAAATGTTGATATGTCCTTTTTGATAAAGTTTATAGTTATTGTTGGACCAGGTGACCCTAAATCCTCCCTTAGTTATGCTACAATAAGTTTAGGCTGCTGAGGGATTCCTGTGAAGCGCTGAGCGTTTCTTCTTCAGAATCAGAATCAGAATACTTTATTAATGTTAGATGACGGCTGTGTGCGGAGAGGGATAGGACCCAAGATGCAGACTCCAGAGACAAATTTAAACCAAAACAGTTTTAATGCTGAACGCAAACATAACATAACTTGGAAAAACTCAAAATAAACTAACACCAGTGGACTGGCAAAACACACAGCAAAATAAACGGT